ACCATGTATGCAGTAGCATTATACTTATAGTACTCTATTAAACCTATTACTTTCATTCATGATTATGTGATTGGAGAGAGAGAAATGATTGAAAAAAAAATTAGATAAATAAAACCGAGCAAGTATATTGTTTGCGGAATAGATGGTTTTATAAGCATGATTAAGTTATTATATGATGTTTCTTATATATGACATCAGATTCTTATATATGATAATTAATTATAATGGTTAATAACCATGACACCGCTATTATATGAGATACTTATGATTTACTTTGAAGTGGATAATAAGACAAGGAGTGTATTACTAGTAATTTTATTTCCTTAAGTATAATATGAAAACATACATGTACATGATGACTTACAAATGTCCAACAATAGTTTCTATGGTATGTTGTTGGCTATATTATCCTCCGTAAGCAAAACCAATGTATGTAAAGTGAAAATAAATACATAAATAAATTCTTTGAACAATCGATATATTATTATATGGTCTTTGAGTGGATATCCTTGATTCCAACTTTGGGTTAAAAGTGGAGATCCTTGATCCCAACTAGACTATTAGCTCATTCCCAGAAGTAAATGAGCAATCTCAAGATTGAAACAATAATAATAATATAAGCATGTTTGCATGATGTTATTTTGATATAATTCATTGGAAATTCATGAGAATTACCAAAACGATTACGTATATTAGCTATTAATAGTGTTATGAGTTCAAGAAATTAATCCACGACATTACTTGTGAGCAACTTATTTAAAAGTATATTTATTATGCCCACACTTATAAGAGATTAATATGATTAATATAATTGGGCTAGAGAAAAATAATAACTTTGCTTTGTTTGATACATGCATTGCTAAAAGAATTTATGGCTTGAGAATGAGAAGAAGATGGATTTAAAGATTGTTGGACTAGTTTTATACCCCCATATGCAAGTAGTAGGGGGAGATAGTGTTTATTCCACTGTTTTTATGTAATCCTTGCACATGAATAATTAAATATGTTAATGGTCAGTTTGGTACATACACTAGCCTAAACTTCAATAATTTATTTAATAGAGGTGGCCACATGATAATCAAATATTTAGCATGATACTGTCCTGAAGATGGATATGAATAAATGTCATTACCTATATAATAGCTATAAATGTACATATTAAGTTGATGTCCTAGGTGGACAAGATCAGTTGCTATTGAACTAGCACACCTGAAGTGTGGTAATGCAAAAGGTTACAACGATAAGAATCCTTGGAACAGGAAAGAAGCACTAATTGACAATGACAAATTTGAGAAAGCTAAGTGATACATTTTATGTATATCCTGAAGAGATCATTTCTAATACATTAAAATGTGATATGATTATATAAAGTACTCTAGAAGAGTATAAAATGTTGTCCAACAAGGTTAACATGTATCAAGATTACAATCAATGCTCCAGTGGAGTATGAGTATTAGTTAATTGTCTTGCCAATTGTAGAAAGAAACACACTGGTGTACTTATATCACATCATTTTCATGGCCATGCATAAAGTATCTCTAATAAGGTGATCACCAATATTATAAAACTGATCATAATTTAAATATTAAAGCAAAAGTGATTGGATGTGATAATTAATAATTAGGCCATCCGGGGTTTAATAAATTCCCGTTATGAAAACCTAAAGTTTCATTTGATATGAAAGAAATAATGTGTTGACGCTCTCTCATGTTAAATATATGAAATAAATTGAATGGCAAGACATAACATTGAGATTGAGCTATATTTAGATTGTGATTTTTAATAGTTTGTGTAAAAAGAAAAGTTCAAGAGATAATATATTGGTCAATCTGAATAATTGGTGACCAGAAGTTCACTAGAATAATTTATATGTTGACAAATATTAGGTGACCAAAAGCTCACCACGTACAAATTATATGTGAAAATTTTAAGTAACTAGTGTTACTATCAATGTTTCTACTGATCCCGAAGATCACCACCTAGTGAAATTACAAAAAAAAAAAAGTTTATATTTGTATAACAATTCTCTTGATTGGGGCTATTGTATGTCAGCACATAAGAAATAGAAAAGAAGGAAATTCAACTGCACAACATATGTCTCCCCATTGATGTTGAATTATTGATCTCCTGAAGAGAACAAATTGTGAAAGATTTAATAATAAATACATATGTATTATGCAATGTATAGTTAATGAAGAAATAATTTAAAATTGCTCTCTAGAAGAGATAAAAGATTGTTTTAATATAATTATTCTGAGAGATAAATTTTGTTGATTATGATCCTCCCATGAAATGAATTTTATTGTAAATTTGTATACTAAGTTGGTGAAGAACTGTGATGCCCCTATATATGAGATATTTTACCAACTTAGGGGGAGAATTGGAGTAAGTTGGCAAAAATTAATTAAACTGATGATCCCTATATAAATAATGGTAATTTGAAATATTTTCTAGCCAACTTTCGTCCATATGCTATCAAGATATGTTGCACATTTATGATTTGATTTGTATTCAGTTATGACTCATGTTGCATAGCGTTGAAGATACATTTTGGTCATATTAATTATGTGTATACATTGAGATAAAATCTTGTCAATTGTACTTGAATCACTATACCTGAAGTGTAGGTTGTATATGATCGGTTCCAAAATAAAGATATGTTTAATAGATATGATATTTGGCAAGATAGTGTAGTTAACACTAATAGTGTAATAGTATATAAATACCAAAGTGAATGAAATACCCTAAAAGTGGTATAGATATCTGAATTATTATTATAGATGGCCTATGATGTAAGAAAAATTATGATGGTACCAATGAAAAATGTATTCAGATATCATTGTCAAAATAGCATGCAAATTAAAATTGTACCTTGAGGAATTATATGATGATACCGGTATATGATGGAACCGATAAATAATGCATATGCATGATATAATGGACTAGTGAATAAGGGATCTGGAATATATGTCTATTTTAATGTCGACATGATGATAATAATAAAAGTTTATCATGGACCAGAAGTCCAAAGAAATATGGATTTTTAAAATCCACACTGTACAGTGTCTTGCATTATTTCGAGTCTTATTTATGTTCTTATGCATGTGTGAGTCTTAGGTTTTTGGATTATTCATTGCATATGTTCGAAGTTGTAAATGCATTACTCATTGTATAAGTTGTTTATCATATTTTTATATATCATATTGCATGCTTTATTTTCTATATAATAATTGTGGTGTATGTCAATGTTCATTCAAAGTATAGTAAGACATATTTACAACTTTGATGGTAAATTAGAAAGAAATACTTATGTTCCTATGGGCTTATACTTGTGATGAAAATATTGAAAACGTCGATTTAATAATATGTGGTGAATCATGTAAGAAGAGTTCTTGAAAAACTTATATACGACGTTTTTAAATAATCAGCCCTACAAATTTTTGAATATTACAATTATCAAAATCTTGAAAATTTTATGTGACTACATCATTGACATCTCAACCTGAAGTTTGGGTATATAAGAGTTAGTGAGATTTACTATTTCTATACGTAGAAAAATTATCGTGTAGTTAATTATGAAACTTCTAAAGAAACGGGATACTTATGCGTGAGACTGTTTCTTATGGTCCAGAAGAACCATGATTAATGTATATAATTGCATATGTTATATTATAATTCATATGAGATTGAAGAACGACATTAATAATGTCAAGTTTTGTCTATTAATGAATGTTTGATCAAATAATAATTATTAATTTCTATTATTAACGACTTCCAGAAGAAGTCATAACTGCATAAGTTTAATTTTTAGAGATAAACACAAGTATGGTGAAATGAAGACACTTCACATGTTCACGTGAAGACCTGAAGAATTGAAGATGCAACTTCAACTTAGGAGAGTCGAAGATCAACGGATGATACTTTACTTACTACATATTAGAAGATATCCAAACATATTGGATTCCCCGTTGCGGTACTAGAAGATCTCAAGTACAGTTATGTATTCAATAGGGGGAGAAAATACACGCTGCACTCTTTTTCCCTTGACCATGGTTTTGTCCCAAATTGGGTTTTCCTGGTAAGGTTTTTAATGAGGCGGCATCTCGAGCGTATTACGAAGAATGATGTACTCTTTTTCCTTCACTATGTTTTTATCTCACTGGGTTTTTCTTAGTAAGGTTTTAATGAGGCACAATCTTCGATAATGGACATCCAAGGGGGAGTGTTATGAAATATTTGTGGATATCCATTATCCTCCTTTGTATCATTCCGGAACAATCTAGATCTAGGGTTATCCAATCAAACCCTAATATATTGTATGTATATATACACCTTATCATATGGAATAAGATACACAGATTTATTCTCTCCTCAATTCTTCTCTTATTCCCTTTATTTTACAATAACAAGACCTAATTTTGGCTAGTTTTTGTGATTTATAACTATGATAAAACACAATTAAGTGACATCTTGTTTGTTTAATTTATATGTATTACTTCCTCCGTTTTTATTTTATTGCACCATTAGGACTTTTACACTATTCACTTAATCTTCTTTGACCATAATTTGTGATTTATTCATTAGGAAAAATATAGTCATGTGGGATCTAGTTAGATTCGTCTTGAAATCTTCTTTTCAAATATCAAATTTTTATAATTTTTACAAAAGTATAATTAAAGATATTAACAGCTAAAGTAATGCATTGACAAGCGTGAAATCCCTCATGGTGCAATAAAAAAAAGAACGGAGGAAGTATTAAAATATTTTTTTTATAATATTACAATATCGAGGTTAATAAATATTAAGAGTTAAAATTATGCATTGAGGCCATTGACAAACTAAAAAGAAAAATGTGTCAACTAAAAAAAACAGAAGTAGTACTTTCGTAAGTGACCTTTGAAGCCATGGCCCACACACGTTAGACTCCACCCTACCATGGCGGCGTGGCCTTACAAACATACAAAATGGGGGTCTATTAAGTTTATTAATTAACGATCAATAATTTAATTAATAATCAATTTTGATTGTTGTTGATTATTGATAGTTCAAACTGAGGAGGGAAGAAAACCGTTAACAGTACAAACAACAACCTTCTCATTTCATCTTCTTTCATCTTCCTCTTTCTCCTTTCCCCTCTCCCTCTCCATTTTCTCTCTCTTCCTGCTTTTTTTCAGATCATACAAAAACCCTATAATTTCCAGTATCCTTCAAATTTATATACTCAAATTCAAAGAAATTTGAATTATTCATTGAATCGAGTCGAGGATTATGTCCATTTAATTCAAATCCAGCCTTACATTTAAGGTTTCAATTCATTTTCTCTCTCATCCTCTTTTTTCAATTAAAACCTTAATTAATGACATGTTTTAAGGTAAGAGAAATTCGTAATATTTTTCCATTTTTTTTTTGTTTTGATCTGCTTTTTTTTTTTTTTTTTTTTTTTTTTTTGCAATTTATTAGAATTGATTTTTAGTTAATTTGAATTTATTTCAATCTGTTATTTGTAATTTTGTGGATGATGAATGATTGAAGTTAGGGTTCATGCTGTAAACAGTATGTTTGTTTGTTTGTTAAATTGTATTGTTCTTGTGACTAAAGGAAGGTTGCCTTTAGGATTGTTGGTTTAGTTGGTTTGTTGTGAAGTTAATATCATTATTTCGGGTTTCAATTCGAATTGTTTCGGTTATTTGAATTGATTCTTTAAGCTATAGAGCTGATTACCTGTTGTTGGAGCATTAAGGATTCTTGACTTTAGCTTCATGATGCTTCTATTCGGTATTCACTAAGTATGGTATTGACATTGGTCCATTACCTTGATTTTGAAATCGAAATCATTATCTTGATTTAGTTGCTCGAATTTATCCGAACATTCGGAGGCAGGAGGATCCTAGAATGTTGGTCATGGAGAGGAACTGAGCTGTTTAAAATATACTTCCTCTATTTCTATTTAGTTGACGCGTTTGATTTAAGCACATATATTAAGGAGAGGAGAGAGAGTGATAGAGAATGAAAAAGCAAGTAAGGTAGCTTGTAAATGTAAGGTAAAAAATTTACCCAAAAGGAAATGTGTCAACTAAAAAAAACGTCCTAAAAAGGAATACGTGTCAAATAAAAAGAAATGAAGGTAGTAGAAAATTGAACTATTTAAGACATGGAGAAAGGATTTTGATGATGTTAATAAAATGGTCTATAAGTTTAAGTGACTAGTTAAAGATTTTTTATGTTTTACTTTTGTTAGTTTGATTGAATCTCGTATATATAAATTTGAAGTTTGGACGCTTTTGGCACTGATACAGATGATGTTTTTGAAAAGAACTACTCAAGCTGAGTTGGATGCATTTTATCCAGTTAGACCAGAGTGCCAAGACAGTGTTCCAAAGCCCCGATTCAAATTGAGGGTGAGAACATTGCTTTTTCATCTTGTTTAGTGAGGGGGATTTTCATCTTTTGGTATATGAAAAGCCATTATTGTCTTTGTCATGTACTTTTTCTGTCAACATTAAGGCTAGAATTTTCTGTCCTTTGCCATTCATAAGTAAAGTATTATCATCACCTTGATTCATTATCCTTTATGCTCACAAACTTGGGGTGGAAAGTTTATAGCTATCAGTTTTATGGTTGAAGAAAACTGCGTTTAGAACTTAAGATTTATCTATTTTTTTTTCTGTTCAGATCGATTTTTTCCATTTGATTGTTATGTAATTCTGCAGACAGGAAAAACTCTTAGCGCAAGGAGGTGGCATTCTTCATTCTCTGAAGAGGGTCAGCTGGACATTGCAAAAGTTCTAAGACGGATTCAACGTGGGGTAAATTCTTGATGTGGTGTCATTATTGTTTTTTCTACTTGAGTCCAGCTTCTTTTGTTAGCCAGCACATGGATTTTAATTAATTAATTTATTTTTTCTTTTGTGTGTATCTTACTTTAGCAAGTGGAATTTTGTCCGAAAGCTTATGCTATCACTCTAGTTATTTTCTTGCCTTTCACTTCATTGATATTATTGGTGATGATGCATAAAAAACAGATTTTTTTTGTTGATTATTGAGTTGATCATTGGCTATGTGAATGCTACTGAGTACTGATTCTATGTTGTTTTTCTTTTCAAATTGTGTAGTAGATAATTGGTGCATATCTCTTATTAAAAATTAATTCTGTTTATTTTCTTTACACTTTTATTTGTGCTAGGGTGTCCACCCTTCTATCCGAGGTGCTGTATGGGAGTTTTTGCTGGGATGTTACGGTCCAAATAGTACTTTTGATGACAGAAGTCTAATCAGGCAACGCCGCAGGTAGTGGTAACTTGCAATTGTGGTTACTCACTTGTATCTATTTATATATTTATCTATTTACTTTTGCATGTTTGAGTGTGACCATTGAATTATAAGAATGAACTTAAGTTGCATGTGATGTGGCTTTTGAATTATAGCTCTTAGTCCCTAGTATCTATTGCCCAATACACCCTGTTTTTCCAAAATATTTCTATTGCTAACAGCTGATTGGCTGCAACATGGTAGACAGTGATGGGCTTAACAAAAGCTTTATCACGGACTCAATCATGTTAGATAACAACTTTTATATCTGCATTGTGTGCAATGTGCATAAAAATGTGTGTGTTTATTATTTTTTTTTTTATTTTTTATTTTAATCTTCTCTTCAGAAAAACCTATTTATAAATTCATTTGGCTAGTTGCTGATAATCTAGTATATGTTCTCTTGGAATCTTAACAACAGTCGCTTATTGTTTAACATTATGTTCTTTCTGTTTGTTATCATGTAATGGTTGTATGTGGATCCAAGTATTCGTGAAAATATGTTTGTGCACATGAGTTGACTGTATCTACTATATTATATGCACTTAGAGAGCAATATGATGAATGGAAAGCAGAGTGCAAGAAGATGGTGCCTGTTATTGGTAGTGGAAAGTTTCTCACAACACCAATCGTAACTGATGATGGACAACCAATAGAAGGTGCCCCGGGCGCACAAAGTGATCAACAACAGAATAACGATGCTGTTTTTGAGAAGAAAGTGATACAATGGAAGCAGGTGTTGCCTCAAATTGGTATGCCAAAATTGGTACATAAAGCTGCTTTTTTAGATTTATTACCTCTTCCAACACTAAATTCATAATTATCTGTCTCTAGTTCATGTTTGTTCTCTTATTCATTTTGCCATTGTTTTTACTATTAGTGTTGATATTGATGTAGCATGTGAGAACCTTAGTGCTTGTAGTGAACTCTTCTTTAAAGAGAGGTAAGGGGGTTAAAGGCAAGTCTGGCTGTCGTCAAGCCTACTAAATATAATCCTGTCTTTTTCTTACTAACTAATAGCAAGGGTAAGAATGGGTCGAGCCTAAGAGAGGCATTAGATCATCCACCGATATACTATCGTTTAAACAAGCTAAATCAAGTGGGTTTGGTTTTAAGTAACTTCTACTAGTTCAAATCAATTAAAGATTAAGGGGAGTTTAACAATACTAAGAGAGATTTAGGGCTCGGGCTACACCACTCAATTTCATCACAAACATGCAAAATAAGGTAAATTGGGGGGATAAATTAGGGGAAGTCATTTAAGACACCCAACTACTCTCTCAAGCTAGAGGGATTAATTGAATCATGAATACAACCTACTCTTGTGGTTAAAAAGCATAAAACAAGTGTTAAAGCATAGTCACGATGACATTAACATTTCCTTGACTAGAATTTCCTATTTCATGGCATTTTAAGTCAATTAAACATAAGGGAGCTAACTCAACTTTATCTCTCAATCCTTCGTTGAGAAAGCTTAGATAAATAGCTCTAGCAATGGTCGTATACCCCACAATAACCAAATTAGCACATGCAACAAGTTATCAGTGACTAAATTGGGGGTTTTACCCAAACCGTAGAAATTAGACTACTCACAATCCATGGAGGATAAAGAAATTAAAGATTTCAAGCAATTTATGAAAAAATGCAAACTAAATATTAAACTAACTAACAATCTAAGCCAACAAGAACTAAACAAGCAATGAACAATAAAGTAGAGAGAAAATAGAAGAAAAAAGTGAGAAATAGTTACTAAGAAGCTTCAAATTGATTAACAATGGTGGAATTTGTCTTTTACAATGATTTGGATTGAAATATCCAAGATTTCGAACTAAAGTCTAAGTACTAATTTGAGAGTTTTTGGAGTTCTAAGTTGCTAACTAAGAGAAAAGACTCTAGGAAATACAAAAGAAGCCCCAAGAAGTATTTATATCCCCAAAATTACACGCTAAAAAGTTCGCAGGAAATGACGGCCGCGGCCGCAACATGCCTTGAAGAGGCCGCGCCCATGTTGGAGAGGTCGCGCCTCCATCTTCTTTCAAATATGCCTAAGGGGGTAGAAGCTACAACAAAAAGGTGGAAAGGCCGCGCCACCTAAATTTTTCAAATTTGCAAAAGGGAGGCGCGAACTTCTGGATGGGTTTGGAGAAGCGGCCGCGCCACTTCTTAGAGAGGCTGCGCCACTTCACTTTAGCTAAAGCTTGTTTTCTCTTGGCTTCTTTCCTTCATCTCCTTGCTTCCAACTTCGGTTTTTTATCCATAGGTATCAACTGATCGTCTTTAGACTTGCAATCTTAACAAAAACACGAACAACCCGTGAAGCATAGGATACACAGAACTTGTATAAAAATGTAGTAAAAATGAACTAAAATGCCAATTTATCAAAGAACAAGGTTCAATAACACCCTAAAATCATATCAAATAACAATTTATCACATCCTAACCAGTGTAATTGCAAAGAGGTTTATCAACCTTAGTATCACTAGTGCAGAAAGAATTTATGTAGTGTCGCCGTTTCAAAAGGCAACAACCATACTAGTAATGTAAATTTCATAAAGAGATAGTGACTAGTCATCTTCCTAACTCTAATATACATTGACATTATGTAAATTGGACGTGGAGTATAACTGGACTAATGTATTACATTCAAAGATTGTTGATGGGATGTTTGGAAGTAAAGAAATTGTATACCTCTGGGAGAGCAACATTAAGAACATTAATATTATCCCCTTTTTAAATGGATGGTTTTGGTATGAGCTTGATAGCTATAGGCTCTTACATGATTTTGATTGGTTTGCTTGGGTAGGGAAGACGGAAGTTAAGGGAACATATCTCTTATAGCAGGAGGGGAATGAATTGAGCCCAATCCATTTATAATCCTTACTTGAACCGTCTCTGCCAGGCCTCCTTGCTTTCCTCCATTTTCTTCCCCTCAAACTTAAATAAAGTGAGCCTCTATTTCCAAAAAACTAATTTTGTTTCTAAATAAGCTTAAATAAAGGCACATCAGCTGTGTAATAGGTAAAATTATTCAAAGCAGCATGTCAAACACAATTTTCAAGTGAATAACCTGTAAAGTTCATTTTTTCAAGGAATTTCTGTAGTTTCTTCTGTACAACAGCTAGCTGTTTGTTAGAGAAAACCAGTGGAGACCTTACTTGAGTTTACTTTTTGTAAATATGAGTAAAAACAAATGTCCAATGTTGATCATATTAAGGTAACTTGGATTTTAATAGAAGGCAATCTGTATAGTTTATATACTCTATGTTGCTAGTGTGATCTGCCTCAGATCTCATCATAAATTGGGCATAAATGGACCTTTATCAAAATGCTGCTTTCATCTGAGAATATGTAGATTAGCAAGTCTGTTGCTTAAAGGTCAATTGTGAAAACCTGTGTTTATAATCTAATTTATTTTTCATTGCACTTAAATATAAGTTTTGGCAAGAAGCTTTCCAATTAATATTCTTACCTTTGATTGCGTGTAAGATATGACAGTTGAAAGCTTAAGAACCCATGTAAGTTCTTAAAGTGGGGACTGGAAATTTATTAGCCTTAAAATTGAGAAATCTGATCTTCTTTGATTGAACAAAGCTTATGTGAAATGGTTCAAACTGTTTTAGCTATATTTGATAGCTTGGTTGTTTTAAAGCCAGGATATTATGGTATCTGCTTGTTGATCATTACTGTAATTGTTGTAGGTTTGGATGTAGTACGAACAGATCAGCCACTTGTGTTTTATCAGAATGAACGTAACCAGGCAAAACTCTGGAATATTCTTTCTATATATGCTTGGGAGGACAGTGACATTAGTTATGTTCAAGGTACAAACTCTGATTTTCAATCTCTTTTCACGATGCCTAAAAATGGGTAACCTTATTGTTAAAATTTTTCTTTCCATTGGCTTGATCTATAGATTTTTTGCATGAGACACTTTTTTGTCAAACCAGTCTAGTCATTGACAAAGGTCAATACCCTCCCTTCCCCTGCATTTATAAAGTTAATTATGCTTGTTTAACTTGATATAGTACTCTATGAGATTTGCTACAGTGAATTACTTTGACTTGTGTGCAGGGATGAATGATATTTGCTCTCCAATGGTAGTACTTTTTGAAAATGAAGCAGATGCCTACTGGTGCTTTGAGCGTGCTATGCGTAGATTGGTAAGAATGCTATCTGTGTTTACTAACTTGTCGTTTGTCAAAGTGTAGATTATGTAATCTAGAGTTCTAGCTTTTTGCTTCAAAGTTTTGTGCATAAAACTGTTGAAATGGCAGACTGGTTGCACAATATGCTCCCATAATCGTATTTTGGTTTTACCTATTTAAAAAGAACATGCCTCTTAGCACAAAATCTGTTTGACTTCTCACCAACTTGTAGCAGTTGAGGAACAATCATTTTTTTTTTTTTTTTTTTTTTTTTTGCTTTTAGCTCTTGATTTTTTTTAATGGTTTTCAATTGAATGAAGTACCATGAAACATTAGCAGTTATGCTACAATCCATTTTATTTCTTATAAACTTGTTAGCTAGTAAGCATTGTCACATTCATTAGTTGATGGTGGCGGAGATGCATGTTTTATGTTGGATCTGTGGCCATACAAGAAAGGAATGGTTGAGGAATGAGATAATTAGGGAGAAAGTAGGAGTTACTTGAAAACAAGACGAGGGACAATTGCCTATGGTGGTTCGGCCATGTAAGATAGAGATCGATTGAAGCTTTGGTAAGGAGGCTTGACGAGTGGCACAGTGAAGGAATCGTGAGGGGTAAGAGAAGACCGAAGAAAACTTGGTGGAGGGTGATTGAGAGTGATATGAGTCTTTTAGCGAATGAGGAAAGTATGGTGTTGGCTTAGGTGAGGAAGAAAATTTACGAATTTGGTTGGGTTCTTGTAATGTTATAAGATAAACCACAACTGGGTTACCTAATTTCAAATGGAAGTCAAATCCATGGTTATTGGGATGCTGTCATTTGTGTAAGCAATGGAGTAAGTGAACTTTTTAGTATCTTTTATGTTCGTACACGATTAAGGCATTGGAAAACAAGCTCCAATATGGTCTGGTGGACCTTGGGTTAAGTCAGGGAGAGAAGTGGAAATGCAAATACGCAAATCGTTGCTTGCATATTTTGTAGTAAATGTGTGAAGATGGACTTCATGCACTATCTGATCTGATTTGGTGCTGGACTTGTTTCCTTCTATAAACGCAGTGCCAAGTGCTTGGTTTGTGTTGGTTGACGTGCTAAATTTTGTTCCTACTTAGGGCCTCAGCTATTAATAGTAGTTTTTCTGGGCTTTATCTTGTATCAGTTTGCTAATTTACTTGAGCAATGATGAGAGTTAAGCTAGAAGAAAATAAGGAGACAAAAGTGGATTCACTGTGAAAGGTTCTGGCTAATAGTTTAGGATTCCTTTCATCATAAACTATTAAAATTTCGTCAAGGTTTTTTTTCTTCTTTTTTTTTCTGAATGGTTTTTTTTTTTTGGAGAGCAAAGTTATTTTTTTTTTGAGAGCAAAGTTATTAAAGATTTAAAAAAAATAAAATAAAAAAGTGGATTGACTTTGAAAGGTTTTTTTTTTTTCCTTTTTTGAGAGCAAAGTTATTAAAGATTTAAAAAAAAAATCTTTAATAACTATGTTATTTCTCCCTCTGTGTTTAAATAAATGAAACGTTTTGACTGTTTGCACTATTTATCTAATTCACTTTGACTAATGTTTGTGATATATACATAAGAAATAAATATTGTCTTGTGGATACTTGTTAGAATCGTTTCAAAAAATAGTTTATTAATATTCTTTTTTTTTAAATCTTTTTTTAATAATATTTTCTTATTAATAATTATAGATATTAGCAATCAAAGTATAATTATAGATATATGCACAAGGGAAACGTTTCATTTATTTAAACACAGAGGGAGTATAAACTCAGGACCCAGGCGGTAGATTATAAATTTAGATTCTTTTTCTTGTCATCATGCTGGGTATTTCTTTTTAAAATACAGCATACTGTGACTCTTTTTCCTGCACAGCATGCTAAAAATTCATATTCATGAGTCTTTGAGATTTATTTGTCAAGCTCTTTACTTATTGTGAGAGACTGGAAGCTAGTAGCTTATTTAAAAAACGCCTTAATTTACATTTTAGGCTATAATACCTTGGTGTGAAGAAACTAAAAAATTTGAGTGAATTCTGTTTGGGCCTAATCATTAAGTTATCCTTTGTCAGTTTTAACAGTACTTGATTGCTCTAACTTCTCTGTTCATGTGTGTTTGTGAATAATGTTAGAAATATCTTCATTCTCAAAGACGGTACCAGAAATTTATCTGGATTCCTGAATAATATTAGTGTAAATAAATATAGTTTCTCAATGTAGTTGGATGGAAGAAATTAAAAACCTAATAGGATTTGACTCTGGCTAAAAATCAAGATATTTTTACTCAATCTTAAGCTGACAGCCTGATACCATTGCTGTTTTGGTTCTGTTAATTCATGTACTTGGAAAAGAGGGATAATTTCAAGACAACTTCAACTTCAATTGGAGTACAAACTCGACTGAGTACACTTTCAGCAATAATCAAAGTTATTGATCCAAAGCTGCACCAACACCTTGGTATGTTTGCTCTGTTATCCTTGATGTCGTTCATTTAGTCCATGACAATCTGTTTGTGTTTAATCTGCAGGTCATGATATTTATTTTGGGTTAAAATGAAATATCTGTTGGACAAAGCTAGCTCAAGATGAGGCCGGTTACCATTTTAATTTCCTTGTCCCCTTACCTCCTTCCCTTCCCCCCACCACCCCAGAAAAATAAATAATAATAAATAAATCATATGTCCATTGATTACATTAATAGCTTCCTCTTTAGTTGCTCCACTAACTTTCTTGTTTGCCAATGGACAAATCTGATGATCAATATGTTTACTAATTGTTTACTACATATTATTAAAAGTGGTAAGTTAATATTTTGAATATATACACTGTGACCAAAAATCCTTTTTTTTTACATTTTTTTTTATGTATTTATAAAAATATAATTTTAAAAAATGGTGAAAATACAATAGATAACTTCACTTTATGATACCAATACAAATTAAATTAAATTTAACCAAGTTTCTACTAATGTTTGAAAATTGGTTAGCAACTTATGTTTTGGATGAGTAAGAGTACAAGCTATAATAACCTTCCTTTCCCTTCTGGATGTAAGAAAGACCCAGACGAGAAACCTTGTGCTTATAGAGTTTTTAGAAGCCTGTGCTTTTAAGTTTTAAGTTTTAACAGACTAGTTTTAGTCTTGGTGAAGCTTGATGCATCTGCATCTGAGCAAGATATCATGTGGTGGATGTTTCTAGGAGTTCATACTTCACAAATTCACAGTTCGGTTCATAAAAGAGGAATGTTATGTAAGAAGAAATTTTCTTAGAGTATGAGATAGTTGAATAGTTATGTTGGAGATTTTGAGTTAATTGAGTAGAATGAGAAAATGCATGGGAGCAGCAATTTATGAAGATTTGAGATTCAAAATTCCACATTTGCTTTTTGTGTGTGCAAGAATAATCAAAAGCATAACATTATTAAAATTTAAATGTTAAATACTTTTGGTTTGATCTAATAATTTTGGTTTAACAACTGCTACATTTTGCAGAGGAATTAGATGGGGGCGAGTATTTGTTTGCATTTCGTATGTTGATGGTGCTTTTCAGAAGAGAGTTCTCATTTATGGATGCTTTGTATCTTTGGGAGGTAAGATGATTTTTACATTTTAATTGCCTCATAGCTGTCTTAACTCTTAAGTTGCCAACTAAAGTAATGGGCTTTGTTAGATAAAGATGATCTTGGTTTTGAAAGTTGTCTATGTGTGAGGCGCATTGAGGGATTTTTGTTTTCATTCTCAACCAATCCTAGGCAATGATAAGACAAGAAGTTGCACCCAAGGAGCATGAGGCGCTCCTCTCATTTCATTCGTTTTCTCCATTCTCTCTCTCTCTCTCTCTCTCTCTCTCTCTCCTTATAAGTACCTATTTTGTTGAAAATTTCGAGGGCATATGAAACAAAAATAATTTATAAGCCTTTTTTAAAAAAAAGTGCCTGTGTGATAACATCCACCTTTATACCGTGTCTTACACCTCTAGAACCATTGTGTTTGTGCCTTGGAATGCATCACCTTATAAAACCAAGAAGATGGCTATATGGCATGCATTTCGTGCTAGCAACTGACTTGTTAATGATAAGGATTCGTGCACCTTGATGCTTGCATGCCCCATCTACAATGGCATTTTTGTTTACATTTTTTTTTTTCACTGGATGAAGCTTAACTTAGTAATGAAGATTGGTTACAGCTGATGTGGGCCATGGAGTACAATCCAAATACTTTCTTGTTATATGAAACCAGTGCTGCGGCGGAAACTACAGCTAATATAAGTGAGAAACTGCTGAAGCAATATGGGAAATATGAAAGGAACAATGTCAGAACTGGGTTCAAGGATTATCAGAGTGGATTAGCTGTGTTTCTTGCTGCAAGCATCCTTGAGAACAAGCACAAGCGAATCTTGAAAGAAGCGAAGGGTCTTGATGATGTCGTTGAGGTTTCTCTCACTTTGTCCCTTTTCTTTTTCATATCTACTGCTACATATGTGCGTGTTAAGAGTTTTTGTTGTTTCTACAGATTCTAGGGGATGTAACAGGGAATATAGATGCAAAAAAAGTATGTAAAGAGGCATTGAACATACAGAAAAAGTTTTTTAAAAAGGTGAGCTTCATTCATATGATCATATCTAACTCATATTTGTTGTTTTAACAATCAATTTCATCAGAAAGTCTTTCCTAACTCATGCAGGCGCAGCTGCAAACACAATAGGATCTTACTGTACCTCCGTTTTGAACCCAAGATATTGATACTTTGTGAACTATATATCCAATCAGTTTAGACTTTGTTGTCAAAAGTTTTTTAACATTGTGTTTGGATTAAACAAAAGCCGGAACTCAGAAATAAAGAAGAATTTCCAGTCTGATTATTGTCTGTAACATTTTTCCCCTTCTCTTTTGTCTGTGGGAGGTTAGAGACAGGCTAAATGTAGCCTTATGTTTTATTCTTTTGTTGTGAGGCGTGTTGTAAGTTGTAGCAAACCAATGATTTTTTGTAATGTCAGGACATTTTTGCATAAATGTAAAGGAGAAGCAATTTTTAGATGATAATTGTTCTTTCTGTTGATTTCTTGATAATTTCCATATTTCTTTTGATTTTCAGTTTCTTATGGTACATTGTACAGACATCGCTGGTAAGTTGGGTTATTTTTGTTTTCAAATTAAATTCTCTTTGAAAAATGTAATCCGAAATTAATGTCCAATGGTATGAGTAATTGAGTAATGATTAAGGAGCCACTACATTCACAAGGCATTCTAAACGGAGGGTTGAGAGACATATAGAAGTGTCTCACAAGGGTATGTTGGTCATTTTATGTGGGATTTAAATTTTGCCTTTGTAGATTCAGTGGTACAAAATACACTTCCAGTGGTACAAAATAAAATTTCAATGGTATATCAAAAATGGTTCAAATGTCTCATTAGACTGTTAAATAATACCATTAGAGATTCACTGGTACAAAATACACTCTCAGTGATACACAATACAATTTCAGTGGTACCTACAAAACTATTCAGTGGTACAAAATATGATCTCAATAGTTGTGGTCCCAATTGTTTTTTGTCTTTTTTTGCACGTGAAACCTTTCTGATAAAAAGGTGGGCCCCTTCCACCCCTTTTTTCACTCTCTCTATATCTCTCTTCCTTTCTCACTCTTCCTAGTACATTTATTATAATTTTTTATATTGTGAGACAATTTATTTTGTCTCACAACACTACATTTATACTTCCTCCTACATTCACACTTAGCGTGTAAAGGGATCTTTCACACTTCTTTTTGATTGGGTGAAATGACATATTTTTTTTGTGGGCCCAAATTTTTTCAATTCAAAATCAAATGAAAATTTTGAAAGAGTTTTAATTCAAATTTCAAACTAAACTTGAACTTCTTACCAACTAATTAATTGTTTTTTTTTCATCTAACCAATCCCCACCGTAGTATACGCCGGAAAAAGTTTGTAATGTTGGCCGGAATACTTCCAATCATAGTCGCATGTTCTCCGTCATCGATGTTGCATTTTTTTTAATTATCGTTGCCGGCGATGCGGATATCAAACGCGAAGTCAATAGGTGATTATTGATTTTGAGTTTATTATAACCATGAATTCTGATTTGGTTGAGTACCTTGTAAATTTACAAGCACCGTAATAGCGAAAAACAACTCAGTGTTATGAATTAGTTTATAATATCATTTTTGTTATTATGGTATTAGAAAAGTCGACCCACGCTTTATTTGTTGTTAAGTAGATTTGTGTTATGAAATTGTTTGTGCTGATACCCTTTACCAAATTGATATTGATAGCGGTCTCCATTTCCGTAGTGCTAGGTTCGATCCCTACATCCCAAGGAAAATTTTCAAATATTTATACCATTAATTATAGTGTTCATAGCTATAAATACATGTTTTGCATGTCAATTTAGCGTGCTGATACCCCTAGCTTAAATGGTTATGTATGTTGTTTACTTATCCCGCGTCCTGGGTTTGAATCATTTTTTTTCTCGCGGCCGAGAGATTGAAGGCATTAATTGATGGGTTTGGGTATGATGTTTATGGCATAAAATATGGTCCCCCGAAATGTATGAATGACGAATTGCTGGATCTGGTGGATGGAGATGGTTTTAACCAATTAAAAGAGATGGCATTTACCAGTAGAATGGTTAATGTATATATCATACATAAACAACCATTGAATGCGGAGGTTCGTAGAAGGAAGAAGCATGTGGCCTGTCATAAAAGGGTAAAACATGTGGTAGTAAATCAAATACTAGAATACTTAGAAATTGATGTCGCAGCATTACCAAAGGTACACATTTTTTGTAATTGCTTTGTGTGGAATTTGTTAATTTGAGTTTTTATGTCAATGTATGTAGAAGAGGGATTTATAACAGATTATTTTTGTTACTGTTTATTTTAATATCATGTTGTTATTATTGATCTTATTCTAACAATAATTTTTTATCCTAGACATCTGATACTATAAATTATGTTTTGATTTCGCCTAATAGTTTTAGTTCGTTTATGTAATTAAACTTGCTGCTTGTGACATCCTGGTGGTGTCCACAAGAACCTTAGTTTTTTTGTTAAACTAATTGGAAAGTTGAATGAGGATCAAAGAAGTTGGGTCGTGGAAATGAGTTTTGGCAATTTGTTGTATCTGTCCGTTACAAAGATTGATCAATCCTTGATTAGTTGGATTGCTTCAAGGTTTGATCCTGTAACCCATTCACTTAAAATAAGGGAGGACTTGACAACTGTTCTGGATAGTGAAATGGTGGGATGGGTTTTAGGAGTCCCTAGTGGGGACATTTTGTTTTATCCAGAAAAGGCTTACTACGAAGAATTCAAACAATTGAAAAAAATTTACAAGGAGAATTCGCTGTGTGGTGCCATAAAACGTTCTAAGGTGTATCATAAACTATGTTTTGAGAAATATAACAAGTCAATGTTCAAGCAACTCTTTCTGTTGTACACACTAGGCGTATTGCTTTGTCCAATGGATAATAAAACTTGGATAAGTTCTTCCCATGTATATTATTTGAATAACGCAAGTAATGCGTATGAATATAATTGGGGTAGGTACATGTTGGAGTGGCTTACCAAGTACAGTGATAATTGGGAGGTGCTAGGTTGCGGAGCACTTTTACTCGCGGTAAGTTTCCTTAATAAAGAAAGATATGTTGTACAATTTATGCTTCAATATAGATACAACAGATGATTTACTTTTGTTATATGTTGCAGATTATTTACCTAGACCGGATAAGGCATGCAAGTATCGTAGACTGGAAAGTTAATGGATGCAGGATCTGTGAATGGACACAAGACAGTGTTGATAAGACAATAAAATCTGACCACAGTCACCAAGGTCACTATGGAAAATCAAAGGTATTTACAAGATTATTGCAACCTAGTTATATTACCAAATAAAGTTGTTAATTAGCTTCATTTTGTCAGGTAACAAATTATTAACCATACACCTTTGATTTCATAGGGCGTTGAAGGTGTTGTTTATGGAATGCCATACCCAATGAATTATTGGAATTACACACCACAATGTTGATTACGGCAAATTTCTTTAATTATGTGTAGGTGAACTTTCACAATAGTATACCCTTAAAGTTGTAGTCTATGTTGTTGTATAAGTTATATCAAAACCGTGTACACTAATGTATTGTATTAGTTGTATGTATACTGTAAACGGTATAACAAACTATAAATGATACTTTAAACATCAATTTGATTTGATGTATCATGGGAATAAAATAATATTTTTTCCAATGGTCACTTGTTATATTTGAATCATCAATGGTCAACAGGCTTGTCTATAAATGAATTCTTTGCTACAATTCAATGACATTCACATATTAAGTGCTTTGAGACGAAGCTTCAAACACATACATATAAAAATTGAATGTTAAGATGACTTTGGTAGAAGAAACTTCCTCCAATAATGAATCATTCACTTCTTCTTACCACCTCGATGACTCCAGCTTGCATTCATGCAAGCACAATCTACCAGCCAAGAAACTAGTTTGCAAAAAAAACATTTAACGCCGGACGGAAATTTTACCGCTGCTCATATTGGAAGGTGAGGTTACATCCCAAATGTTTTTTAAAATAATTTAGTTATTTTGTATTCGCATAAACTTGAATTTATTTCCATGCATAGGATGATGACTGTGGCTATTTTTGCTGGGAAGATGAAGCAAGCGAGGTTGAATCTAATAATTTAAGGAGTGCAGTGACCCAACTAAAAGAACAATGCATGTTGTTGAAGTGCGAGGTAGACAAGTTAAAGGTAGAAAACAACCTATTACGGGAAAAAATATTTGAGTTGAAGAGTTATTCCGACTCATTGGTTCTCAAATTTTTCAATAGTAAAAAGGCAAAAATGGATTTGCAAATCAAGGTCATGGATAAAACAACTATTGATAGGTGGATGTGTATAATTTTAATTTTCTGCATTTCATTGTGTATAGCTTATGCAACCAAGTGGTAATTTAAAGATTTTTAACATCTAATTTTAATTTCAATAAAAATGCGATTTTAGACATTGCTGTTTTATAATATGATTCTACAAATAAAAATATGACTCCAAATAAAATAATATGATTTGTGAAAATTCATAGTGAGGCTGTTTAATAAAGGACAAAGGAGGACATGTTAAAAAGTTTAGACTACTCCATTGTTAAAAAAAAACTGCAAAAAAAAAAAAGAAAAGTTTTTGCTTATAGCAATTACCCAGTTCGATTTGACTTGAATCATAGAAAATAAAATGTTCATACTTCAAATATGCCGAAATCTACATAAGTAGACCATCTAGGTTGTTCCTGACTTCCTTGCACGTTGCCATTAACATCCTCCACATCATGAATTTTTTAAACTGGACATCATTTTTTTCATACATCTGCAAATAAGAGGACCATTTCGATGTCAATATTGTTGTTAATAATACGAAACCTAAACATTTTGTTGAAAAAAAATACTTACACGAAGCCATGAGAAAGCAGATTAAGTTTGACTGTATAGGTGCAGGATACAAAGCATGCCCGTGTCATGGACTGATGTTACCGTTGGTACGTCCTCACACTTGACAAACTTAAATGTTTCAACGTCTGGTGTTGGACCTTCCAAGAGTGCGTCAATTGTCAGTCCAAGAATCTGCTTATAGTATTTTCCCTATTCACTTTTGTTTAAACAAAAAAAAAATAAAAACAAAAAAAATAAAAAAAAATTACAATCAATATTGGGTGCCAGGAGATTATCCAAAAACATTTACATGAATCTATTACTGGTTCACCACGTTATTAGTCTGCTTACCAACACCAATATTCTTTCCTCATGCCTTTTGTCTTCTTCATCCTCATCCTCTTCACTCGTGTTTTGAAAATCAATTATAACGATTCCCATTGAGATTGCCACCATCAAGCTCTTCTGATCCAATTTCTTCATCGTCATCATCAACCTAAAACGATACACAATTTTAAAAAATTGGGTTAAAGCAATTTACTCAAAGTCATTGTTACAACAAACAAACTGGAAATAATTGTTATTTTTTTGGTAAAAAAAAAAAGTTAACACAAAATGAGATTTACGCTTTTCTTCTTCTTTTTACGAGTCTGTTTTTCTGATGGATGTTTATTTCTCTTCGCAGGAGCCCTTCCAGTGCCTCGTTGGCAACCAGATTCTTAATTTGACCTTCACCCATAGGCTTAGCCACACGTTCAACATGCCTTTGATTATTCTCTTTGGGCCTTAACCTACGCCGGCCAAAAACTCTATTCATGGAGGGGTGACTCCAATCAAAAACATCTACTTCATCAGTCCTACGAATACCAACAACATCTTCAAGAGCAGTACGAACTTTGTTAGTTGCTTCATAATACATTGAGAGTGTCTCATCATTGTGCATTGCTAACGTTGAAAGGTATTTGTGCCTCCTTTGAATTTCATCTTTCTGAGCTATGTTAACTAAATCCTTAGGGTCGTTCCTTCCTCCATCGATTCAAAATGTACTTCTCTGTGATGCACTCGATATCTTTAGTATGAATCACCTGGATAATGTGCCGGCACAAGATACCCCTAAACTCAAAAAGCTTGCAGCTGCAACTAAATTCGCCTTTTTCTTTATCAACGGAAACCTTAAACGTCCGCCTTGTTGCTTTCCATACTGGTTTGGGGATCTTCTCGTCTGCATCATACAAAATCATTGATCCTATGTTGCCTGTTTTAACTATATTGGTGTGCATTAGCCCTATCACCTCGTCCCTCACCTCCAAAAACTTATCATTTGTGTAAGCCTTGCTAAACACCACCTCGGCTAGTACAATGTTGTCATAGAAAAATGGATTACGCTTTGTTTTGTAATTTAGGTCCTTTTCCCTTTCCACTAAGCCACCACAATACGCATTAAATTGATTCATGAATTGCATCAACCCAGTATTCAAACACACGTACACTTTTACACCACGGTTCGTGCTTTCACTATGTTGCGTTGATGACATGCCAGCCCAAAAAAGCCTACGCCAATAGCCAGGAGCCCACCGATGCCTATTAGCATATGCGTCACTTAACCAAGTGTTCTTTTGCAACTTGTTCTTTGTAACCATAACCTTCCATGCATCCTCAAACTGTTCTATGCAAAAATTATCGTGCACAACATGATTCAAATTTGCCTCTATCTCCTTCCATCTAGGTAACTTCCCCAAATTCCTTGCTGCGTTTTGCTTAATGTGAAATAAACATAGCCTGTGCGACACATCAAGAAACACAATTTCCCCTGCCTTCCCTATAGCTTTACACTGTTCAGTCAATATTCCTTTAGGAGGTTGGCACATACATTCAAGAAAGTGTCTAAATACCCATTCGAACGACTCGAAATCCTCATGAGTGATTAAGGCAGCTCCAAAATGTATAGTAGACCCATAATGATTGCAGCCTACAAATGGAGCAAATGGCATTTTGTACCTACAAAATTCATTTTTTGAGAATATACATGTGAAACCTTTAATAGATAAATGATTCATGTTACAAATAAATGATTCTGTAAAACAAACATAATGTGCTTATGCAACGTTATTATACCTGCATAAGAAGGTTGTATCAAATGACACAATATCACCAAAATCTCGATACATTGCACGACCCCTAGCATCATACCAAAAACCATTTAGAAGTTTTCCTTCTTGATCTTGTTGAATATCACTATAAAAATTAGGATCTTCTTCGGTCATCTTTGTAAAGTGTTGTTCTACGGCAAGTGCATCCCCTTGAAATAAGATAAGGCGGCGTTGCACGTGCACTACATTTATCATATCTTGCTTGGTGAATGACAATTTCGAAGGTCCTCCTTTCTCAATAACGAACGAATTATAGCTCTTACCCAAAGAGATCCCAGCAGCATCGTTTAGAGCCATTCTCTCATAGCTATCGTCTTCTATACCTCTATAGTTCACCATGCGCCTTGTACAATCCGACAAAAGAGGATGATTGTCCAACACACATTGTGTGATTACAAACCATCCCCCTGACATTCTTCCATCAACATATACCTTACATTATGTACAAGATTTCTTTTTTTTTTTTTTTTTTTTTTTTTTTTTTTTTTTTTTTTTGCGTATGTGCTCTACATTTTTGCTCCTATCTTTGACACTAAGCTTACAATCCATTCTAATACGGGACATCATATGGTACTTTGGCTCCTTTTTCCCAACACCTCTAAGATTGACATCTACTACTTTGTACCCCTTCATCAATGTATCTGTTCTAACATAAAATTCAAATCCTTTCTCATAAGCGTACTTATGGCAGCATTGGGCAAATTCTTCACCTGATTGAAACAACATCCCAACAGCTAGGGCTATGGCAGCAACACGGTTATTGTCATCGTCTACATTGCTATTAGTTTGGTTAACAGGAACATGGTCACCTTTAGATGACGAACTAACATTTTCCTCTGGCTCTTCATTAAGATCAGGAATTATAATGTCGTCATTCTGACCGACTTGGTTCATCTCATCCAACACATTGTGATCAATGTTCATAGCTACACCAGATGATTGGGCTTCGCTCTCCATTTACTGAAACAATACCTCAATACAATTACATAATTAACATTTTGATACTAGAAAATTATTAATGACACAAACATAAACAAAGTAATTCTGTAAATTTAAAAATGTTATATAATATATTTAAGTGACTTATTATAGCAGGGGATGTGAAATCCTAAGAAATTCTTAAACTGTCAACGAACTCCTGAAACAATCATCACAAGTTGGAATTGAAAGACAAACATTCTACCACAATCCCGAAAGAATGACGAGCTCGACTGCAAATTTAAATAACCTAATTAGACATTTAAACATAAAGTCGTAATAACCGTCTGAAATTACAACGAGAATGGAAATATTACCCATCATAATGAAGGGGAAATCAACAATCAATAGGGAAAAGTTTTGAATCTTCAAATATTAACAACGAAATTAGATTGCAGAAGTGGGGGAGAATTGATATTATACTTACGTTAGTATAGTTGTTGAATTCTCTGTATAAAATTATTTGAATGCTAAGTTGCTAACTATGTCAATGGCATCAATAAAGGATTGCATGCTAAGTTCCTAACTTCCCATTTAAAGCCAACGATGATGAAATTAAGTGAGACCCAAATTCACTTTGGCGCTCTATCACAATATTCCCGCCTTAGAACAACATAATACCGCCAATAGCCCAGAAAAACTACCGCTCAGTTTTTCCTCCCATTATTTTCCCTTCTCTCTTGTTTTGTGTGGGACCAGCCGAGTTATCATTAATTTATTGGTAGTGTGTAAAATGCTCTTACACACCAAGTGTGAATGACTGAATGTAGAGTTTTTGTAATGATTAGCATATCTTTTGAGTTATTTTATGGTCAATTTATAACGATACAAAAAGACATTGCCATTTGTTACCTTTTCTATTGGAGGGAGAAAGAAAATTGTTGGGATTTAGAGCATCAATAGTGGATTAGTAGAGAATATTTTAAAAGGAGGTTCTTAATTACCCTCCTATTCCACATTATCACTAGTTTCTACTTCTACTAACACCCTTCATATAACATTCATGACACTCATTTTGAGATAGAAATAAGTGTAAACGTACAACTTAATCAAAATAATGTATACCTGGAGTACCAAATTAAAACGTTCTCTATTCTCGGTGTGAAAATAATTTGGATAAAATTGCTCGTTTGCCTACACTAATAAACTCCTAAAAAGCATGTCCAAAAGATGTTGAATTTTAAAAAAAAAGGTTTATACTTCCAAAGCAAGTAATGCAATTTTAAGTAGTTAAAGAAAGATTTGTCAGAAAGGCGGGTACTTATATGTCCACTTATTTGCGAAGAAGGACCTTATATATTTAGAGTGGTGAAAAAGGTAATTATAAGTCACTTTTGTTGTGATGAGGAGGGACCTTGACGCCGAAATATAGCCGTTGACTAAACTTTTTTGATGTTGATCATCACACTGTGGCATGTGATGTTTTAAAAGGCCCTTCCATTCCTTTTTCTCCCACGTTTTCACTCTCTCTACCTCTTTCTATCTCCAAATTAAATTTTCTCTCAAAATTCCTTCTTTTTCCTCAAAATATCATGAAAAAAAGAAAAAAAAGACATTTTTTTTCCTAAACATCACATGCATTTCACATGATGATCAATGGCGGAAAAGCAAAGTCACTGGCCATATTCCGATGTCAAAGGTCTCTCCTCACAACAAAAATGACTTAATTATAAGAATTATTTTTTTCACCACTTTGAACATATAAGACCCTTCTCCACAACAAACGAACATATAAGTATTTTTGGACAAATTTTCCTAATCATAAAATACATTTCTTTTTCTTTTTTGAAATACATAAAATACATTTCTTCATTATAATCAAATTTAAATTCTGGGCATTTGCTCGGGGATTATTTAGGACAAGTATAAATTACTACATCAACTCTAATACGACATTGATTATTTGATCTCTTTTTTTTTACAAGAAGAAGAATATTATCATTAATAAATAGCCATACGACATCTACAACAATAATAAAGATTTGTAAACCACAGATCTAGAGAAAATAACATAACTTTTACATTCAAAATCATAACTATTTTGCATATCGGGCATAGCTCACACTCCACCGCTTCAAACTTGACGCGAGTAGTGTTTTTCGATGTCTTTGCATCTTTCCAAATAGAGACCTTCGCAATCTGCGCTGATGTTTTGATCGTAGAGTTAATGACGAACCCTAAACCCATATGAATCCAAATCACCTTCTCAATTATTATTAAAACCCTAAAGATAAAATTCTCATCCATAGATGAGAATCAAAATCCCAAAAAATTGGGAAAAACCCATAAAAATTGGGACAAACTCTCACAAACGGAGAGAACAAAACAAAGCAAAACAAATCAAATAACAAAAAAGCAAATTAAATTGAAGAAAAGGGTTGAAAATAGTCTAATTTCCGAAGAAATTAGACTATTTCCGACCTAAACGGCCAAGAAAATTAAAACCCTAAAGAGAGGAGAGAGGAGAGAGAAGAGAGAAAAAAGAAAAGAGAGAAGAGGGAGGCGGCTGATTATTTGATCTCTTTGCCACATAAATGCTTCCCTTAAAATATAAATAAAAAAATAATAAGTATTTAGATTATTCTTCAAAAAAAAAAAAAAAAGTATTTAGACACCCAAAAAAAAAATAAAAACCCTTAAATTAATATAAGGTAACCGATTATCTCTCCTTTTCTTCTTCTTTGGTTGCATTTCAACCTTGAACAACTACCCCTCTCTTTCTCCCATTATCCTAACAATTTTCATCGTCCTGGTAATGCTTGATCCTTTTCTTTTCATTTTGCTCACATTTTATTCTTTTTTGATCAATTTATGCTATAACAATGATTTGAATCACTTGTACGATGACTTAATATTTTTTGCATATTTCTGTTTCGCGCTATAGAATCATGAATATCCTCATCAATCTATCTTTTGTGTCTTTTTTAACACAAGAAGATTGCATTGGGTGCATATATATTGTTTTTGCGTCTCAATTTTATTAATGTTTATGGGAAATGCAAACTTTTCTTCTTTACTAATGTAGTTTGTGGAATTGCTTAAATTTTATGAATGTTTTCATGATAATATGATATGATATATGTACAACATAGGTTCATCTCTTAGAATAATAAATTGGTAAATACGTCCATTCATATTTTCATCATATAGTTTGGCTTGTATAAAAAATAATTTATTGTTCTTTATGCATTAAAGGTTATTATAATACTTAATTTAGTGACTAAATTTGACATCTTGCTTAACAATTAGCATTTTGTGATAAAACTTTATTCATGCAAAAAAATTATGCAATATTTAGTTTCTTATATTTTTCTCTAATTAATATGTGGATTTTGTGGTGCATGCATGCAGACTATTGATGTATGGTTGTAGTCACTCCTTCCTCAACATCTTGCAAATAATCTAGAATTGCTATTCTTTATAATTACATGTTAATGAATTGAGGTGCAAGCAAGAATAATGGAAGGAAATGTGTTTACTCGAGCAGTTGAAGGAGTAAAACTTATTAGGTCCGAAGAGGGAATTATTCTTACTAAGCCCTTTTTGGATTTGTGCAGATTGTTACTACCCCTTATAGGTATGCCAATTAACTATCTTATTTACTCGATCTCTTGTACATAGTCGATGCTTGCTAGCTAGTTTAGTTTGTGACTTAAGATCGAATCTTCTTTAATTTACACACAATTATTGCAAGTTTTTAATAATAATAATAATCTCAAATGCGACATAATGGTTGTAGTCTCACTCTATTTTATCTTGTTACAGACAAATTTGGCTCACAAATGTCTTGTATAAAGGCCGATGTTGCATGTAATGTCACGGTAAGACACTTGATGTCTTTTGTGTGTGTGTGTACAAAATTGTTAGTTTAATTTGATGTATGCATAGCTTCAAATTTGGCTACCTTTGATCACATAAAGTTTTAGTTGTACATATATCTATATTGCTGTTGTTATTTTTTTTTTTTTTTCCAAAATTTTAGTAGTCACATTTCTTACTTCTTTTTTGCAGAAATTGGAATTGAAGTATGCCTCTAATCCTTCAAAATACAGTAACTTGTGTACTATGACAAAAGAGGAGGTTGATTCTAAGATAGCAAGGAGTTCATCAAGTTGCACTCATGCACTTGTTTGGTTGAACAGGTAATACTAATTGCTAATTTGGAAGTTCATTTTCATGGATATATATAGTTAGGTTATTGAGTTATTTGTCGATAATATAATTTTTTCAACCATTTAACTTAATAGTTAGTATCTATCTAGTTAAGTACAATTATTTCTTTTTTTTTGACATTTGTAGGGCGATGGATTTTATGGTACAATTTTTTCGCAACCTATTAGAGCATCCGGAATGGTCCATGACACAAGCTTGTACAGATTCCTATAAGAGAACACTAAAGAAATGGCATGGTTGGATGGCTATCTCAACCTTTAAGGTATACATATAGTACATTATATTAATTTGGAAGACTTTTAATTCAGCTTGCGAAATTATTATTTTTTTTTCCTACTCATACAATATTAAATACTTTTGCACAAAGGAATTTTGAATTAATCAAATTTCTTATATTGATTTTTGCAGGTTCTCATTAAGCTTGCTCCAGACAGAAAGAAGTTTATGTGTTCAATAGGTGGGAGTGTCGAAATTAATGCTGAGATTGAGAAATTATGTAGAACTTTTGCTTCAGTACTTGAAGAAAATCACAAAATCTTGGTAAGATGCATGAAAAATATATAAACGAACTTATAAAAGTTCCTGTAATTGCTTATGATTGTCTTACTCTTGTAACAGGCTAGTTTTGGAGTTGATGATATTAAAGCTCCATGAAGCTAAGTGTTCATACGTTATACAAACAAGCGCTCGCATTTGATAGTTTAGCAGACTTAATTGCTCAACGTTTTTGAACATTTCTCTAGCAAGCTTAAGCTCTACTGCTAGAGTTGAGTAGCCTTTGTATCATTATGTAACAAAAGAATTAACGAAGAGTAACTATTATTAATTAGTTGCTCAACCATACCATCATGTACATGATTCCTCCCTTTTTGAACAAGAATTTGTTTCTCAAATTCTACATTTCTAATGAAGGATACATTTTTGTAAGATATATACCATGTGACAAAAACATGATAGCGTTGAAAAACATATGTTGTTAGTATAAAGTTCAACCAATAAAAGAAATTCACACTCAAATGATATGATATTATGATGTTTAGATTGTGGAACAGAGGATTTGAATTCTTTATCAATTCATACTTATGTACACATATATTCCTCCTCTTACTACGTTCTCATCTTTGTTCTTCTATACGCTAATATATTCGCCTTGCTTTAATTTGATGCATAGATGACAAATTTTGTAATTTGACATAATATGAAAGCCATTCCTAATCAAAAACTAAATAAAACTTAGGAAATTTTGCCAACAACTACCATTTAAATGACCACTTTTGAGAAACTACTATTTGAAATTTTCTTTTTAAAAAACTACCACAAAATTACAAAAACTTTGAGCAGCATTATCATGTTTAATTTTTCGGTAAGAATTTTCTGGTTGAGAGAGCCTAATTTATAAAATTTCAATCAATTGTGGTATAGAAAACAAGATATTTCTGTAGTAGAACACAATTATAAGTCAATTATCTTTAATTTCGCATGATAGTTGATTTAATTTCTAAATTAAATCTTAAAATTAGGGTTTATGGTAAAAAAAAAAATATTTGAATGGGGATTTGGAGCAATTGAAGTGTATAATCCAATTAAGGGTTAATGTAGAGGGAGATTTTATAAAATATGCCTCAAAAACGGAGATTCTTGCCAGAAACAATAAATGTGGTGCTACTCAACTTTTTGTGTTTTTGTGGTAGTTTTTTCAAAAAAAAAATAATAAATAAATTAATCGTAGTTGTTCTCAAAAGTGGTCATTTAATTGGTAGTTGTTAGTAAAATTTCCTAAAACTTAATCAAGTCCGGCAATTTTACTTGAAAAGCTTACATGATGGACCTCTTTGTATCCAGTGCTAAACATTACTAAGTATTTCACTTGAAAGAAGGGTTGGATGAGATTTGAATCCATGTTTTTGTTAAGCTGATTCTTAATTCTATATTAATTAGATTTGATATGGTAAGTTGGTAACTGTCATTATCGGCCGATACTAAGACCGCATAGATAACTGGACTTCTAAAAAAACTAACTCAAACAAAGGTATAAGCTGATGGTTTAAGCCTAAAATTGATTTTTAATACTCGATCAGTATGTAAACATACGTGCAGCCACTAAACTAGGGCTCTACACATTCACACAAAGGACTAGGGTTCCTAATATCGATTTGTTAGCTACACTGGCTTTTAAGCTAGGCTCTTTTCTCATTGCTAAATGTGCGCTCCAGGGGTCATCATTACTTATGTGCGTAACTTCAGCTTTTCTAAGCTGGGTTTTTGAGGTGTATTTTAACAGACCTTTTCAAGTTCTCTAGACTTGTTGAGGTAGCACAACTGACTCTTTGTCTTAACAGTTAACAAAAGATAACTGTTTGTAGTTTGTTTGACCGTCTTTGGGCAAAATGATCCCGATTATTACCAGTACCACCCTCAAAACTTTACCAGCTAAATTAGCGTTTATGTGCATAACACTAAGATATATTGTTATTGTAACCTTATTCAATAGATCAAATTTTACAACAATTTTCCATAGTTAAAACATTATGAAATCCTTCTCCAACATTAATATTATTGCATGTAGGAAGTAAAAAAATTAAAAATTACGTAATAGTACCATAAATTATTTCTCTTAGTTTGCCAAGCGAACAATAGAATCACCTAAGATAATGCTATTAGAATTGACCAATATAAGGTAGTCCTAATTTCTGTTAACTATTAATCTGCTAAATCCTAGGATATTAATGTATATTTAGTTAAAAGCGAAGGATTAATTTTAACATGCATAGAGCCACTGACTTATTAAAAACATACTAATAATAGATGATGAAAGAACTTGCATTTGCTTCCTTTCTTCCTTGACAAAATGCTAAATTTTCGATGATCGAATGGCTTCCTTCCATTAAGGTTTATTAGCAAGGGTACATTAGCATTTGTCCATGTAATTAGCGAAAGCTTAGCCTTCCTATATACAAAGCTTTGCTTCCGTTAATTTCCCTTTCTTTCTTTTTCTAAACCATTTTTATTTTATTTTTGTACGATATTCTATCTAGTATTGGCAAAAGATAGGAAAAAGAAAAAAAAAAAAAAAAAGACATATCTATAAACTAAATAAATTTCTCTTTGCTAACCTACAAAAAAATTATCAAATTTATAATATCTTCTTCTAACTGTTTCATTACATCAAATTTATAATTTCTCTTTGATTTACTCCTTATTTTTCCAGTTGGCTATATTATGAGGGCAATGGACACGGAAGATTAGAAAGAAAAATAGATTTTACACAAATAAAGTAGCATTTTTCTAGGTTATGAGCATAAAAATGAAGGGCCTATTGAAGGGCCTCAGATACATTTCCCAGATATTTGGTATGTCCAACATCTCACCTCTAAGAAATAACTTAAAATGGTTGATTTTATGATCATTTTAGGATCTAAATTACGACGATTAACAAGATCTGATCTTATGCATTGATTTGATTAATTAGAGGAAGAAGAGGATGACAAGGAGATGCAAATAGGTTTTCCCACAGATGTAAAACATGTAGCTCATATTGGATGGGATGGTCCATCTATTAACTCACCAAGTTGGGTATGTTTTAGGTTTAACCCTAATTTTCTTTACTACGTATAATTTCATCACTAAGAAATTTAATTCTAAGAGTAAAGTTTATTTATTTTCTTTTAAACTAAGCCATTGATGTATTTGGTTGTTAGATGAATGAATTTAAAGCCCAGGGAGCAGGAAATCCAGCAGATCCATTGCAAAATGGAGTTGAAGCAGAAAACCGGCCGGTTTCACAAGGTACCAACCATTCTTACTTAACCATTTTTTAGGCGATGAATAATTCGTTTCATAGTATGTCACATTTGGGTTAAGTCGGTTTTTTTTTTTTATTTTCTCAAAACAAGGTTCGAGTCATTTATAAGTTTATCATAACAATAATTTGTTTATAAAGTTGAATTATACTTCGGTAGAATTCGTACAAAATTAACTTATTACTTGAGAGTAAGGGATAGCTCAAATGGTTGGAGCTTCCCTCCTGATTCTAGGAGATTTTAGAATCGATCTCACCCCGTCCTTGTGGCTCTCTAAAAAATAATTTTTCAAAAAAAAACTATTGGAGCTTGGAATGGATCATCGGGTACTAGTTGAGTTTACAAGGTCTAGGATTGACGTACAAAAAACCCGTAGAGGGTTATGTTCTATTGAGGTTATGTCCTATTGATGTCTTATTCCTCACAATAGTGTGGTATTGTTTCCCATTTTTACTCAACCGTGTATTTGGCTGCATGGTTTGATTTAACTTTTTACAGAATCATCTCCCAAGAGAAGTTCTGTAAAGGAATCTCCAGCGAGAGACATGCCAGGTTTGCCAAAGTCATCAAGACGGCAACCATCAATGGACAACATAGGATCAATAGACTCTCCAATAGGGAGTCCAAATCACAAGACCAGATCCTCCAGGAGACGCCAAAAACAAAAGGAAACCACTAGCCCCCGAGTTGGTGAATCCTCCAGCGCTCAAAGCCTTCCTAACATACCCAAGAAATCTCGACGAAAGAAATCCAAAGACGTTGACAGCTCACTCAAGTCTAGTTTGAAGCCGAAAGATAAAGGTTCAAGACATGGGTCTAGGCATGGCTCAGATGATGGGTCATTGACCAAGCAGTACAACATTGAGGCAAATTCTAGTGCGAGTTTAGCTTCATTCAACGAAGAGGAGATGAAGGCATTGTAAACTCGAAATTTTGAGGGATGTTAGAGAGCCTATTCTCCTTACGGAAAGGCTGGTAGTATCATCATTTGCCCTATTCTTAGCGAAGAATATGGCTTCTTTTTGTTAACTTTGTTGAGTTTTTATTGGTAGAGTTCTAATTTCTCAGAAACCAAGATATTGGAAAGCTAACGATTTGGTAGAGTTCTAATTTCTCCTGTGAAATCCATCATTTCCAATATTTGATTGGTAGGAAGAATATACAGGAGAAAACAAGAAAATCACAAGATTCCTGTAATTTTTGCATACATATAAAAGATCCCATACAAATTATGTACCGTAGTATACAACTTTAGGTTATAGGGAGATCAGAGTTATATGCAAAGAGTTTGCAAATACACAGATAAACTGTACATGATACTCGATACTAACATTGCAGTTTTTGTTCATATAAGTTGAAAATATTAATGATAATTTCATCACCTAAATGGGACAAAAGAAAATATTGAAAATTTTCCGCGAAAGATGATGTGAAAGTAAGAGGCAACGATTCTTTTTTTAGTACATTAATCACCTATCATTTTAATTATGGGCATGCCAAAATCAATATAAACTTAGACCCAACCCAAACCAGTCTCTTTACCTGAAATCTAAAATCCAGACTAGCAAAAAGTATGAAAACTGAAAGAATATCTAATTGGAAGTTGTCACACATCGAGTTAATCACTAGGCAAAGTAAGCATGAATTCTTTTAGCTCGGCGAGCTAGATTTTAATTGTGTCCACTCTCAACCTAAAGTACTTATGCTCTATGTAGGCTAAAGCATACAGAATGTGAGGACAATAACTAGCAGCATAAGCATTCAGCCCAATTATGGTTCATTCTCAACAGCCTTTTACAAAAAAGATGACACTCCAGCACATCATAAATGCATCACATCCTCTAGCGCTGTCAACCACACACGTGCATGTAGTTCAGTTGGACATGCACTGCACATTCCTTTTAAATTAATACAACACACAAATCATCACCTATGGGGTCTATTGAAGTAGATTTTGCTTGTTCCAAGCAAACACTATGTACGTTATAAGGATTCTATTTACAGTTGTCTGAAACAAGAATTATATACAGGGAGGAGGGTGGCAGTTACGTGATACCTTCATTTTCTCGGTTTGATATTCTGTGGTATTTTGAGTGAACATATAAACTGTGCTAGTAAATTGCCATATTGGATGCTAGAGTTTCACATATATGCGCTTCATATGAAGTAAACCAGCAACCAGGCCCCAAAAAAGAATCTCAAGCAAGACAAAGGCTAGGGTCCCCCAATTCTTTGAGTTTAATACATCTTGAAAAAATGATTCTGTCCCGTCAACCTGCACAACACACCACTTTCAGGTTTTTCTCAGAGAAGGCAACATTTTATTGAGAGGTCTAATTTTCTTTTGGAGTAAGGATAACGTTGACTTAAACATGTTTATTTAGTAACCCTTAGTACTATCTCTCCCTATTCGAATTACTGGTGAGTGTTGCAAGTAAGATTGAGTGTGCTACTAAAGTGACAAATGGCCGTCCCTAGAAATTTATATAACAGGTTTTCACTTCATTCTCCCCTTTAGAGAGGATTAAAGAACACAAGATAGGGGTAGGTCATCAGTTATCAAATTCGTTTTTAGGGAAGATGTTTGGAGAGGATCAGAGAAGAGCAAAGTTGTGTGATTTCCTTGATTATGTTGTTTGTCTTCTCTACACAATGCCCGTGTCTGGTTATTATCTAGAAAAATTCTAGGGATCTACATTTTCATAGGCCACCGTCCACAAGAAATATTGTTAATAGGAACTTTCTGCAATTCCGCTTGAGGTTCTGAGCCTTTAATTGACTGCAGTAGAGGTCTCAAAGGTGTGGACAGCGGATACTTGGAGATTGTTGTATGAAAATTTCTCTGTTGGAAAACTTGACTTGGAAGGAGAAAATCCCTTTACAAATCAGGGCTTTGTGTGGATGTTGGCATGGGGTAGGATAAATACTAATGACATGCTCCTAGGGTAGGTAAGGGCTAGTCTGGTTATTTCACTAAAGGTATGTTTGTTGTATCAGTATACTAGTGAGTGAGTCTTGTTCATATGAATCCCTTTGCTATGAAATGGCAAGTTGCCTTAGGAAGTGACTGTTTGGTTTGCATCAGGATTAACAGGCTTGCCCTTAAATGTTGAAGAATGTAGTACAAGTTTGTTGAGGGTATTTACTATTTAGTAAAGATAAGAGACAGAAGCTGTTATGGGCCTTATGGCACGATGCTTTTATGGAAATTTTGTGGTGTTTGTGGTTGGAATGATATCCCTATGTCTTTAGTTGAACATCCTCATTTAATTGGGGCAGTTAAAGAAATTGGTATATTCTGTTTCCTCGTTTTTTTGTTCCAGCTGATAATGTATTCTATATTCTTGTCAATAAGAAAATGTAGAAGATAAATCCTGAGCACTGTCTAAAGGACATCTTGTGATGTTTCTATATTCTTGATTTCTTGTAAAAGATACCACTCCTAACGGGTATAAAATCCCAATGAAAGTGCTCAGGTAAATATGTACTCTGTATTCATACTTGCCCCCAGTCTGTAAAAACTATTTCAGGGCCATTATGGCCCATTAACATATTAATTTTGGGGTACCATTGAATGCATAGTATAATTATGAACATAAATAGAAAACGAAGGTAAGTTACCAAGTTATTTTCAGGTGAACCCCAATAGAATCCTTGCAAGGCAATTGAAAAAATCTCACAAGCAGCAAGAGCATAAATCAGAAGAGCATTCATCCCCATCCATTGCAGTAGTATGACAGGCTTCTTAAAATGTTTGACATCAACCTGAACGGTAGGCATGGGAAATATCTATAACAAACTTATATAGCAGACCTTAAATCAAACAAATAAAAAGTTCTAGATAGAAAGAAATTTTAACACATCTGTTTCCATTTGTTCCACTCTGTCAATCTTATAAATATTCTAAGCTTAAAAATTGTGTAAAATGGAAAAAGGAGGGAAAAAAGGGAAAGGAGGTAAAGGAGAGAGGTAGAGAACACGTAATTTTATCCATTTTTGGTTCATGACAAAAACTAAACCAAAAAATATACAATAGCACACTTTTCATTAAGGATTCCTGTGAGTAACATAAGACGGTTGACATGTGGGAACTGTAATGTGGGAAAAATAACTTACTAGGTAAAAGATGATGGTGAAGATGACGCCTGAAGCACCAGCTGTGATACACATATAGCTTAATGTGTAAAGTGGTTTAGAGAGCGGCATCCCTGGAAAAAATAGCACATTACAGGTTCCAAAGTAATTTACATTAAGGGAATGCTATGGTCACTCTTCTCAAACTGTGCCCATCTATGGTCCACATTACTATATATAATTATTATGTATGTGTAGAACATTGTGCTCATCTCAAAAAGTAATTTGTTAGTCTGGGATAAATTGTTGATGAACAGCATAGGAGCAGACATAGGGGGTAAGGTGAATGACCATAGCATTCTGATTGTTGAGTTTATACATAATGTAGATACAAAGGAAAACATACCTAAAATCAGCAAAACATACCCTGAGATTAAAAGAGAGAAAGCAGATACAGACCACAAGAATATCCTCTGCCAGTGATCCTATAGCAATAAAACATAAAACATGAGATATAACATGAACAAAATTGGCTATCATCTTCTTCTCCCTAAATTTAAATGTGAGAAGTATTAAACCTTGAAGTGTGCAATTATTTGTCCAAAGTGCAATCCCACAAAACATGTAACAGCAGCCATTAATGAGCTGGACCTCGTTGATAAGAAGAAAAGTCAGCATCAGAAATCGAGGAAATACTAACTCTAATAAGCTGCAAATAATATCTATAAGGATCAACAGAGTAAGCACTCATGTGACTTATGTGAGTGTCGCAAGAAGAGTCCCTCAAATGGCTCAGCATATCCATAATGTTTACCAAGTGATGTATACTTGCAAGAAGTACTGTAAATGCATCAGGCAAAGCTAAAAATATTGCGCCAGTGAGCCACACTGAATGCATCAAAAGAGAGTACCAACAGAAAATGGAATTTCAAGAAGGTTTTGCTTCTTTCCGGCTGACTTATACAGCATATAACAGAACTTAATACTTACGCAACAACAGAGAGTAGAAGAAAAAAAAAGGTGAGAAAGATGGGCAAAGAGAAGATAGAAAAGTAGAGAAGCTGCTAAATTTTTACAGGGGGGTGGGGGATTTAAGAAAATATAGCACTGTTCTTTGGCCACAGAGTGAAGTTGAAATAGAGATGTGAGGGAAGGGCTACTGAGTTAGCCTTTTGCAGTACACTTCAATGATGGAAGCTCCAGAGATGAGTTTTCCGATGGGGTTCCTAATAAAGATGTTTTCTGTATGCCTTGTGCAATGTCCTCCTAGATAAGAGGAATGGAAGCAGAAAAATCTTTGCATACAAAATTGAAGCTCATAGTTGGCTGTGATCGGCAGACTTATGAGTGTTTCTATCTTGTCCTCTATTCTTTCAGAATATGATAGCAACTAATTAACACAGAAATAAAAATAAATAAAAAATTCTTTCATTATATTTCCTTGCAATAGTTGTTACGAGGAATATTTTTCTTGGGGCGAAGGAGGGAAGTGTGGGGTAGATACCTTAATATGCCTTCTGGATCAAAAGGAGCAAGGCACCATCCAGGTGAATTGGCTGGCAAAGGTCCATAGTCTGGAGAATTTACACTACATTCCTGTAACAGCAATTATTTATCATTTAATTACCCATAGAGGAAATCAAAAACAGAAGAAAATATTAGTACAAGAGAAAATACCTTTGCTCTTCGGTATACAGGACGCTGGTACAGATGGTTTTCACCAAGCAAAAGTCTGTCAATGAAGCCAACAGAATTGCAAGGCGGGTCAAGACTACCCCTTACTTCACATTGAACCTATTTTGCAAGTTTGAGATGTTATGCATTGTTTAAAGACATGAAAAGCATGCATAATCAAAACTTTTTGAACTTCCTACAAATGATAACTACAGCAAATTCTTATTCTGTCAAGCCGAGCTAAGTGGATGGAAGCGTACTAATGGACTCAGTGATCAAGATATTTCAACATGCAATACAGGATATTCAGACCGCCAACAAATTTTCAATCATATATAAAGTGAGAATGATACAATAAATACAAAATTTACATGGATTATAAATACATTCAGAAGTGATTCCTCAAGTAAAGCAAGAATAACTTTGCTGATCAGAACCTTTAGCACCCAATTATTAGAGTGGACAAGTATTCCATGTCTGGTTGTTATGTAGGTATAGTAGGCTAATTGCACATTCAAAGATGGTACACATCATGCTCTATTACTTTTGGGCCTTTGGGTAGACTGATCAGCTTAAATAAAATAGCTTTGTTCACCGGACAAAACACGAATTATTTCGGCATTATACACTTAGGCCTTGTTCTATTGAGCTGATTGAACTGAACTTAGTTGAGCCGAACTGAATTGAAAATAAGTCCAAAAGAACAGGGCCTTAATCTGTAAGATAAATCAAAGTTATAATAACAAACACAGGATTAAACTGGCACTATAGTAGCCCAATATTGAATATCCCATACTGCTAAATTCTGTTGTTGAGCCTTTCCCGTGAGGCTGTGTGGCACTTCTTTATAAGCATATGCTAACCTCATTGCATCAACTTTGCTTCACATTCCTAATATGTGGGTTTATAGAATTTTTCAAGTACATGAGAGATGAGACTAATTATCACACACATATAAATAACAAGCAAGAAAAAGGTGTAGGTTTTAATTTAAGTGGTAAGGCAAAACAGACAAGATCATTTTTTGTATGAGATATTATCAAGTGCAAAATAGTCTTCATCATTGAAGAATTAAATTGCTTTTTTCTGCGTTCAAACTTCCAAGATACAATAAATACAGTAGAATTTTAAAGTTCTATGCATAGCAATTTGCATGCATTTTTTTAATAGTTCAAAGGTGCATACCAAGTTACAAAATCCTCAAGTGCCTTTTTTTTTCTTCTTATTATCTATTCTACGACATTTGACTTTCTAATTGATCCATCAACACTTCTTTATATTCCATTTATTGGTATCGATCACAATCCATACTCTTTAAAGATGGAAATTCAATTACAAAAAATGATCACAGTTTGGCAATATTAAACATCAAAGGGGAAGAATGATCAAGAATAAAGACTTAAACTTACAGTCTGAAGGTTTGAAGGCAACAGTGCTGAATTTGCTCCGTGAAGCTCATACTCCCAGCTTGGAACTTTAAGGCCATACAGCAAGCAAATATAAATAATGCACAATAGCACAGTTACCATCCTACACATAAAATCATCAAGCACTTAGTACATGAAATTTTCAGCAACAGTCAAGAGAGTTTAGCTCATAAAGAATATCTTTGAAAAAATAAAAAGCTATAATTCAACCAGAATAAGCATGACGTTGACTCATGAACAGCAACACATACTGTTGCCACTTCATCAACATTGCAAGAGGATTAGCGTGTGCAAAACGTGCCAATTTTTGAAATCGCTGGGCAGCCTATGCTTTTCCCTCAAATAAGAATCTAAAGATAAAATCTGATACAGTGAATTTGGGTAGTAAACGGATTAATGACTGAAAATGTTTTACACTAGCCCCTAAATGTTGAATGCATTTTGGCCAACTCTTAATTGCTTCCTGATTTCCTGAATCCTTAATTATGAGTTCATTCTTTCTGATTTTAAAATTTATCTCATAAAGGATAGTATTAACTCTTGTGTACACCTTTTTCTTTCCATTAAACATCATGCAAGGTTTGTCAAAAAAAAAAATAATAATAATGCAAGGATTCCTATACAACTGATTTTTATTTCAAGAATGAAGCGCAATAAGTTTAAGTTCAATCAATACATTTGAAAACCCTCACCAATATATCTAATACACCACTATTTTACTAGAATTAGGAGGGAAATTGTTATTTTAGTGTTGAGACAACTCTCAATAAACATAAAACAGATGATGTAGCATATCTATATAGGCTAGTGTGCTCAAGGTCATAAAACAAATATTTGTTGCTCTGAGTTTCTGAACCTTTTGATAGTGGTTCACATTTGCTTCACTTGAAACATGTGGACTCTTACCCAATGAACCACCTAATTTACCTAAAGTAAAACTCAGCCCAACCTGATGATGCCTTGAAGCGAATAAACAATGATGAGCTTCAAACTCTTTCCAATAAGCAAACTAATTTAAATTATAAAAGCATAAATGTCTGTTGCTGCAAATGCCAGTAGAATAAACCAACCTCACCATTGGATGCAGTATTTTCGCATAAATGCAAAAGGTGTGTCCACCACCAAACCCTTGACGAGCCAAATTTCAGAAACTGAAGCCAATAGATATCCAATTGATATCCTCTGTAATTGAAAAGGCTTATATTCAAAAATATTTGAAGAAGAATCCAAAGTATATAAAGAAAAATGACTTTCAGTTGTTGAATTCCAAATCATAATGAAATGACATAAACTTGAAAGATAAAGTCACATAAGCAATCAGATTTTCTAATCCACAGATGAAAAGCAACTTGTTTAGATGTTACTTAAAGTCCTTAATTTCCTTGAATATGCACCAACATATTCATGACTGCATGAAGATTCAGGTCTCAGGCTAAATCTTTTAGGAGAATATTTTTCTCTTAGTCTCTTACTATAGATGATAGATACACTACGCAAATTTTAAAGCACATTACTGAACGTTAATAAATCCATTAATCTACCTGCAGTACACCTAGCCAACGTATTTTCTCCACATCAACACCATAAGTCAGTGTTTTCCTTCCATGAAAAAATCCACCTACACTTACAATCACCAAGATAATGTAGTCAGAGTCTTTATTACTTCTCACGAGCCAAGAATACTAAGGCCACACAATATGCTCATGAAGTACTGTAGACAATACATTCAACAGTTATATGTGTCAAAGTAAAGGCCAATGGCATTCCTTGAACTCAGAGCTTGAAGGAACAATAATATGCGTAAAGAACTTATAAAAGCAAAACTTGTGAATACAGAAGTGAAATTCTTGATTAGAATTGTCCACCTAAGCACACACCTTGCAAGAAGATACCCAAAAGGAAGAGCTTGATTACCCGGATAATAACTTTCTTTGTAGCTGTAGACTTATTGTCAACTTTCTGAAATTGAGATAGATTGAGTTACATAAGGCCATCATTCAATACAAATATACAGCACGCACATTATACAATCTACAATAATCTTCTGCAATGCATTAAGAGAATTAATTTGACCGAAGAATTTTATTAACCACTTTCAACTAATCACTTATCACCCATATCTTCCAAGAAACATGTTATAGACAATGCAAACAAAAAAAACAGACCTGAGGTATAGCACTAAGAGAAAATAAAGATTTTTGCAAAAGAAAGAAAAACATAGTGAAATGATACCAAAGACTCAAAACAATGGAATATTGGTCCAAACTATCCGAAACATTATGTCATCCTATCAATGTGGAGCATTCACCGAAACTGCTCCTGTGCCATTAGATTTGTTCAAAAAACAATGCTGTTTTGGTCTTATTGAAGGTCAATATTTGACTAAGGCTACTCTTCCTGAGGATGCCAACAATATGAATAAGAGCTGGACAGCATATTGTAAAATAAATGCACTTTCACAAGTTCAACGTAATCCATTCACCAAATCTGCTGCTGAACCATAAATGTTGTTTTAAAAACGCAGTTTTAGTCTTGGAAATCAATATAAGACTAAGGCTAATCCTGAATTCTGAATTGCCTTTTGCGGTGGTCTTACAAAAATGAGGTACGTTGGACAGGCTTTTAGACAAAGGTACATCCCGAATTCATAACTAGCAATTTAAAGAGATCTTGTAATTGATAGCTAAGTAAATTAAGGCTAGAGAAAAAGAAAATGAATTAACTGTTCACAATTGCTAACTGATACAAAGAGAATTGTGCACACAATAATTAGTCACACATGATCAAATTTATACCTTATATACCAGACCAATGGAAACACCAACAATGAAGAGGAAAAAAGGCATCACAAAATCTGCTATTGTCACTCCAAACCAAGGAGAATGGTTTATGGATGGAAAAGCTCCTCCAGCATCATCAACCAAAATCATAAGCTGTAAACAGAAAACAATGAAATGTGGAGAGAAGAAGTAAATATTACGAAATAAAAACTTAGCTATTCTATAAAATGATTTTCACGAGCTAAGCCACTAACAACAATGAAAATACTAGCAGCGGAATTCAATGCATATCAAATACTTCGTACTATAATTCCATCTAAACAAGAACATAAACTTTCAATTCATGTTTAGCAATTGGCCAAACTTTTGCTTCTACAATGTCACAGTTTAGGCACCTATCTAGCACTTCACATGAAGACATGATAGCGTCAACCCTTAATGAATACATAACATGATATGCATATGTAATCAAGGTGTGATACATACATTATTAGAATTTATCACATATCCATGTAAGGTCTCATAGTACATGGACCAAAGAGGCTATATGCATCAACGTTACAATGAAATCATGTTCTAGTAATAACATATTCTTCACTACATTTCTCCTCTACTTAGTTTTTCCATCACAACTTAGCACAAGGCACCATGAGAGGCGATAGGGAAATTTCTAAGCCTCGGTGAAGTGAGGAGCACTTACTAAAGTAAATTTTAGCTGAAAATTAAGTCCTGCTGCTTAGATCACCTCACCTAGGCACATGACCCTTGTTGCACTCGCGCCTTTATCATACACTGCATTAGAAAAACGAAGATCCTTTTTTACCTATAAACGGTCCTCAAATCACTTGCCAATTGAATGAAGTCTAGATTGAATTCACAGCCTTTCACAATAACATATTCACGACTCACGAGCCATACAATCAAGTGACAACATACTACAAATCAAGTCCCAAAGACTTGGCTAAGCAACAAAGAAACGCGTCGTAATAACTAGAGTAGTTCTAGCTTACACATTTTAATAGTGAACTTGAAGGTTTAGAATTTTACAAGTAAATTCCGGACACCTCTCAATATAACATAGCGCTCACTCTTTCAGTCTTTCTTCCTTGGACCATAAACAAAGAACACCCTAATATACACAAATATTACTCCATATTTCAACTTCATATCTATCTGTTTGTCTTCTATTATACAGAGTAGCAAAAATTGATCAACAAAAAACAATCATCACAACAATCCACTGAATAACATACTAAATTCAATTCAAATTTTCATCTCATCAAATTCAAACTCACAAAATCCAAACCTAACACAAGAATTCAACATTAGCAACAAAAAAAATAAATAAAAAAATAAAAAAAAATCCTCACCAAATAATTTCAAATTGTAAACAAAACGAAAAAAAAACCGGAGAAAACATACAGCAATGGTAAGACCGCGAAAGACATCAAGGGAAAACAGTCGTTGATTCTTCAGAGGAACTGATGGAGATGATGATAAGACAACATGATTTTCTGATTCTGGAAGTTCAGAAGGTAAATAAGGAAGAATTTCATCTTCAATGTATCTTTGAATTTCTGGAGCTGAGGAAGAAGGTGAGTTATGGAGAAGAGGAGTTTGAGTTTCTCTCTCCTCCGCCATTGTTAGAGCTTGAGAGGTGAAGAATTTGGAGTTTTAGAGAGAGAAAGAGGGAATATGAGCAGAAGTAGTGCGTAGTGATGAATAATAAAGCAGTCTAAATTGACTGGAGAGTTGGTTGCTTGTAAAAATGGCGTAGAAAGTGATGGGTTGAGTTAAACGACAATTTTTAAAGATCGGTTTTTATGGAATTTTCTTCGGAAAGGGACCCGTACTTAGCGTTGAGAGTGGAGACGATTGAGTGGAGTTAGTACTTATGGCATTTTTGGTTGCACAAAAAAATTTGGAGGTGGAGAAAAATTACGAGAATTTGAAAATGAATGAGTTATTTGGTTGAAAAAAAAAATATTTAATCGTCTTCTTTTTCTTAGTTAGGGTCTGTTATGAATTACTCAATGCAAAATAAGACAAGTAAATGAAATGGGACATGACTATTTTTTCACGTATGAAATCTCACTCGGATATGGCGTACTCTTTATTCTTCAATGCGTAATAAAACAAGCTAATAATTATGACAGTCCATTTGCTTAGTAGAATAAGTAAATTAAATTTTCAAACTTATATATTATACAGCTTATGGAATAAGATAAAACTGGTATGTGACTTGTTGAAGTACGTAATTCTTAATACAAATTCTACTTAACACACTACTAAAACAAACTTAAATACAAACTTAGCACATTACCAAAAAAAAACAAATTTTACTTAACACGCTACTAAAATACATATTGAACTTAACATACCACTAAAATACAACTTGATAGCTTTAAATACGATCACAATACATATAAACCTACATGACCCTTGTTGAAGTAACTCTTCCTCAGCTTGTACACCTCTTCGAGTTAGTGGTGTTGCCTTTCCTGATAGAGATTGTTGAAAATCAAAATTCATCTTCCTCTTTTGTAATCTAACTTGTTTTTTCTTTCTCTTTTCATTTTCCCTATCAAGTTCCAAATTTTGTTGTCGTAGATTTGTCTCTCTTTCTCTAACTTCAGTTGACGCCTTTATCTGCTCACAATGCTTAAAAATGCACTATCAGAAACTAATGCTTTGCCCTTACTCTTAGCCTTTTTTACACCTCCCGACGAAAATTTAATGTGTGCTTCTAGTGGTTGAAAATTTAATGTCTTGCAAGCATACACTTACGAGTAATATATCATGAGCCAATGAGAGATTATAACTGACAGGATATAGTCGTATTACCAGTGGCAGATCCAGAAATTTGAAAATGGGTCCTAAATTTTTTAAACTTATATAACCCAAAAAATTGAAAACGTTGTATTAATAATGTTTCAATATTGCAATCACTCTTTTCAATTTTTCAACATTGCAACACGGGTAACACGGGTAGTAATCACTCTTTTCATTTTTTCAATACACAATTTTAACCTTTAAAAAAAAACTTTAATTACGAGTATGTAACAGTAACAATAACTCCAAGTGATTATTTTTCCTTACATATAAACCATATAGAATTAGAATGGGAAAGCGCTAACATTGCAATATTTTAAATCCGAAAATAATATATTATTTGCAATTTTATATGGAGAAATAATGTATGATTTATCTTTTAGGAAATCAACTTTTTAGACGAATGGGAGAGAAAATACTACAATATGAAATAGATTTTTTTTAACACACCTTAAATTTCATAATTCTAATGCAAAAATAAAGGGGATGCAAGTGCTCCCCTTGGTGGCCACATAGATCCGCCAATGCGTATTACCTAATCAAAAATAATTCTAAGTCCTCTAACTAAAGTAGATGAGAAAGTACGGTCAAACCACAGGGAAACAAGTCTTCCTATTCCTAATTAATTAATATAATCTAACTTATAGATATTATAAATTAAACTAAGGAAGATGAAAGTAGGGAGAAATCAATTAATAAAACCCTAGAATATAGGTTCACTAATAATTAATATTCCAACATAAAACACAATAATCAATCATCAATGCATCAATTAATCAGATCATAAAGGGCTTTCGCTACGTATTACAATCACAGAATTAATCTTCCAGTATTAAATCGCATCTGTCGAATCTTGACTTAACCATTTATAAATTAATCTGTCTATTGAAACTAAGCCTAAACGTCAATTCTCATCTGTCGAATCTCAAATCAATATTGCTAAACTCATACAATTAAACCGGGCATAATCTAATTGCATGGCATTAAATCAATCAATAGGAAATTGATCAAGCATTGACAATCAACAATAATAAATTACCCCTTCATATTATTTATGGATCCCACAACCCTAGAAAACAATCTACTCACACGTAATTAAATCTAAACTAATCAAAACAATTAAGCAAAACATGATGAACAAAAGCAAATAAATTATTGAAATAAAAAGGAAAGAAATTGTTACCAAAGTTAACGGAAAATAATGAATTGAATTAAACCAAGAGTTGTAGAGAGAAAAGTAAGAGAGAAGTTTAAGCTTAATAGAAGATTAAATTAATGAAAGAGAGGTAATTCTATTAAAAGCAACTAAAATGTATTTATACAAAACATAAAAAATCCTAATTAAAAGCTAAGTAAAAAAAAACGTCGAAAATACGCTCCAACACACGCGCCCGGTCAAGCGCCAGCTCACCCGGTCGTGCCCGCCTTTTTCATCAAGTGTTCATCTCTAGCGCCTGGCCGGGCGCAAGACAGGGCGAGGGGCTGCTGCTTTAACTCTTCCGCCCCAACCAGTCGGGCGCGCCTCAGGGCGATGTGCCTAACCAGGCAAGGCCACTTGGGCAAGCTTTGGCACTTCGATTGGGCTTTTAATCCTAAGCCCAATCCGGATTTTCTCTTCGGGACTTGAATACTCGTTCCAAATGTCTTGGTTTCTTCAAAGTCGAGTCCTTAATCACCGGTTTGATGACTCTAATCGGCCTTGGTCTACGAAAGGTGGTCATACTCCTCCAATGCTTGTAGTTGCTCCAAATAACCCCGGAAAAATGCTCCAAAGATGCAATTTCCTACAAAATGCTACCAAAACTACGAAAACACTAAAAAACACACATTAGCATTAAAAGTGGCTCTAAAGAGCCAAAAATACTCCTAAATATGACCAAGGGACGGGGGTAAATCACTATATAAAATAGACATATCAATAACCTAAGGAGTTTGTTCTTTGTAGTTTAAGGAAGGCGTGTAACTTTTTCCAATCATATTCATTCTCAATGGCCTAACTTTCAATTACCTAGAATATAATCAATCTTTCCCCATTAAAAAGAAGTTTATGGAGACTAGTTAAGGTGATAAAAAAAATTCTCTTCTACAAGAAATTGAAGGAATCTCTAAAGGTTACAAGGCTTTCAAGAAAGAATTAGTCCCATGGTCGAAATATCTGAGAATGAAACATTACTAGTTTAATTTAAAAAAAAGTTTTGGATTTAAGGTGATCAAGACTGTTCTCTCTTCTACAAGAATTTGATGCAATCCCTAAACATTACAAGGCTTCCAAGAATACATGGTCAAAATATCTGACAGTGCAACTTTGCTAGTTTAATATTAAGCGAGAGTAATGTTAATCACTTAGAAATAAGATCAAGTGAGATGATAATATTTGCATCGAAACCTGTATTAGTAATCTCTATTAATCTTCATATTAAACTATATAAAATTTTCTGGTAAATCTTTCTTCTAGCTAATATAATTAGAAAGATAATATAACAATTATGGGTAGTATATCAATACACATAATTATATGGGTCAATAATTGGTAATATAATATATTTATAATTTCATATAATTTGTTAATTAATTCATAACAAAAAAATACAATTTAATAATCCTAACTATTGACAATGTAATTTACTACTAATAATCCCAACGTTTATCACCAATAACTTAATACTAAAACAGACACCGGAAATGACAATAAATCACCTCGTGTTGTCGTTTTTTCCCTCCAAAAATTATTTTCCAAAATTAAATATATTCTAAGTTGATTTTTCTTTTAATATCCTTTTTATTGTCAACTTATTTAAGACAATTAGATTATTTATATTCAATTTATATATTATATATAATAGAAATCAAAGATTTATAGAAATAATATTAATATTATTTGCTTAATATAATTTTTTTTCTAGATACATTACAATCAAATGGTTTTAATTCATAGTATGAAACTAGTATAGTACTCCTGCAATTGCACGACTTATAAAGTTCAACCGTTAAATCTCACTGTATATATTTATCACAAATTTTTGTATGGGTCTGCTGTACAGTGCGGCAGGGGTTACTCGAGTTACTCGGCTAGGGGTCACTCGAGCTAGCAAGGCTTACTCGAGTTTCTCAGCCAGGGGTTATTCGAGTTGTCGGGGTTACTCGAGTTACTCGGTCATGGTGACAAGGTAAAATCGTATCCCCAAATCAAAAGTAATTCCTAAATCCTCTCACTAATGTAGATAGGGAAGTAGGGTCGAATCCACAGAGAAACGGATCTTTTTATTCCTAATTAACTAATATAATCTAGATTATGAGGTAACCAATATTTATATTTGAATAATAAACTAAACTACGGAGATCAAGAATAAGGAGAAAACAATATATAAAATGATCTAGGGCATAGGTTCACCAATAAATAATACTCCAGGGTAAAACATAGTAATCAATCATTGACATTGCATAAATAACACGATTAACAGGCTCTCGCAATTTATTAATCAATATAGATCTAACAGGCTCTCGCAATTTACTAGATCTAAGTTCTTATTGAAAATAGCCTTTAATATCAAATTAACATCTGCTCGATTCATCAATTCAATATTGTTATACTTTTACAAGTCGTAATTGTAAAACGTTAAAACAATTCAATAAGAAATTATCACGCAATACCAATAATCAATAATAGTCAATCATCAATGCATCAATTAACCAGACTGTAAAGGGCTTTCGCTACTTATTACAATCACAGAAATAATCTACCGGTATTAAATCTCATCTCTCGAATCTCGACTTAACCATTTGTAAATTAACCTGCCTATTGAAACTAGACCTAAACATCAATTCTCATCTCTCGAATCTTGAATCAATGTTGTCAAACTCATGCATAAAAGATCAGGCCTAATCTAGTCACAGAGCATTAAATCAATCAATAGGAAATTAATCTAGCATTGATAATTAACAACAATAAATTACCCCTTCATATTATTTATGGATCCCCATAAACCCTAGAAATAAAACTAATCACACATAGTAGAAGTTAAA